ATCTCACCGTGGAAGAGAGAGATAGAAACATCAATGATGCGAGATAATCATAGATCAGCTGCCTCCTGCACGCCCCCTCCCCGGGCATGTGCCCTGACCGCCCTGACCTGGTTCATAGGTAGATGCTGAACCACTGAGGCACACCGGCTGGCCTTAACATGTATTTTAACTTGGTTAGCATTTTTGTGAACAGATATCCCCCCTTCAAAAGGCATTTTTAGTTTCCTGGTGAAGAAACGAGACAAAAATATCAGCAACTTTTCCTTGCAGAGCCTGTTTCCTATTGAAAGTTTACACAGGACCTCTGAAACTTTGCCCCAGGTGTTTGCCAGGGGAGAGCTCTCAGAGCTAGAGGGTGGGAGAAAGCGCAGAAGACTACGCTTACCTCATCTTGAATTTTTCTCCGCTTGAAATTAGCATTTGCTTGAGTTGGGGAATTGATCTGGGAGAGTCTTATCCTAGTGATCTGAAATAAGTTTCTCTTCCACAGATCTCTCCTTTCCCTGGGAAGAAAAATGGCTTCTGTTGCAGTTGACCCACAACCGGTATGAATTTTGAACAGCTATTTCTTGATTCCTTTCCCTCCCCTTGTGTTTTGGGAAGTTAATCCCCTTCCCCTTCTTGATTGCAGAGTGTGGTGACCAGGGTGGCCAACCTACCCTTGGTGAGCTCCACTTATGACCTCGTCTCCTCGGCTTACGTCACTACAAAGGATCAGTATCCTTACCTGAAGTCTGTGTGTGAGATGGCGGAGAGGGGCGTGAAGACCATCACGTCTGTGGCAGTGATGAGTGCTCAGCCCATCATCCAGAAGCTGGAGCCACAAAGTGAGTTCTGATTCCCACTCCACATTTAGTCCAACGGGCCCGTTAGGAGTGAGCCTGGAGCTGGTTTGAATATGGCGAATGCCAGCCTCGTGCCCCAAGCACACAGGGAGTCTGCAGCCTTTCCTGAGGCACCTACTGCCTTTGTCCATAAGCTGCCAGGTGACCCTCATTGTTATAGAAAGCTTCTTCATAGCAATGGCAGATGTTCATGGTAACTTTATTTATTTATAAAATATATTTTTATTGATTGCAGAGAGGAAGGGAGAGAGAGATAGAAACATCAATGATGAGAGAGAATCATTGATTGGCTGCTTCCTGCACGTCCCCACTGGGGATCGATCCCGAAACCCAGTCATGTGCCCTTGACCGGAATTGAACCGGGGACCCTTCAGTCCGCAGGCTGACGCTCTATCCACTGAGCCAAACTGTCCAGGGCTCATGATAACTTTTAAAAAAATCCCCCACTGCCCTAGCCGGTTTGGCTCAGTGGATAGAGTGTTGGCCTGCGGACTGAAGGGTCCTGGGTTGCCGGCACCATCCCCAGTAGGGGGCGTGCAGGAGGCAGCCGGTCAATGATTCTCTCTCATCATTGATGTTTCTATCGTTCTCTCTCTCTCCCTTCCTCTCTATAAAAATAAATATTAAAAAAAAAAATCCCCCACAGATGTTTCTGTGTTGGCAACAGGTCACAAGTTGTCAACTGAAATTAACTTCCTTAGGACCAGACAGTGTACATGAACTGTTTTAAAAATAAATAACATCTTTATTGAGGTATAATTAACCACCATACAATTCACCCACTTAACATGTACTGTCAATGTTGGGTTTTTTTTTTATAGTATATTTACAGAGTTATGTAAGCATCACCACCATAAATTTTAGAACATTTTTATCACCCCAAAAAGGAACCTTATACCAGTTTCTGTTTGGATGATGAAAAAGTTCTGGGAATGATAGGTATGATAGTTGCACAACATATTAGTGTTTCCTTCCTTTTTATTGTGGAATAATATTCCATTGTGTGATTAGATCACATTTTTTTATTCATCAGTTGATGGACATTTGGGTGCTTTTGCTTTTTGGCAATAAGAATAATGAATGCTACTGTGAACATTTGTGTCTAAGTTTTTGTGTGGGCACATGTTCTCAGTTCTCTTGGGCTCATCAATATACCTGGGAGTGGTATTGCTAGGTCATATAATAGCTATTTCAGCTTTTGAGGAACTGCCAGGCTGTTTTCCAAAGTGACTTATAATCTTACATTCCCACTAGTAATATATCAAGATTTTCCACATGAACCCTTTTTAATGAAGGGTTAAATCATTCCCCCAAATGGTTAAGTCATGAGCTTTCTGGAGTATAAGGAACCTTTAGAGACCAGTTTTCCATCTCTGTTACTTCCCAAATGAGTTTAGGACTAGCGTTTGGCTTGGTCATCATTAGGGCTTGGAAGGTTGGACTAAAATCTAGGCCTTATTAGGGAGGTCCAGAGTGGTGTTAGCATACCATTCCCCATTGCCACATACTGAATTAAGTGTAGGTAGGGGTTAAACCAGCATGGAAATGCTAATTTTGAGAGTTCTCAGAATGAGGGTTCAGGTGAAGCCTGGCTCCTCTTGGCTTTAACCTCAGGAGCCAGGGGATGAGGAAGAAACTTCTTAGCCAGCTTCCTACCTGGCTTGCCTGCTGCTCTCCCACCCCCCTATTTCCCTGTCAGTAGAAGAACTTGCCAGCTGAGCCTCTTCCCTGTCTGAGCTGGAGAAGTTGGCAATGCATAGTGTGATAAATGAAGATCAGTGATTTTGCTGTTTCTATAACTAAATGTTTATGGTATAATAATATGTATGCATTCTATACATACACTATTAACATTTTCCCCGTTTGTGATTTTTTTTAGTTGCTGTTGCCAATAACTATGCCTGTATGGGGCTAGACAGGATTGAGGAGAAACTGCCTATTCTGAATCAGCCAACAAAGCAGGTGAGCTTGGGACAAAAGTGTTGAGGCTTTCCATCTCATATTTTCATGTTCTATTTGTTTAGCATAACTGGTTCCCAGTGGTGTTCGGTAAATGCACAGGTGGTATATAGAAGCTTTCTCACTTGGTGTCTGAGCGCACATCCAGTAAGATGGAGAAACAGGCATGTCTGCCTATAACATGCTGACAATTTTTTTTTTAAACTTTGCTTTTAGTTTCTTTTTTTAAATATATTTTTATTGATTTCAGAGAGGAAGGGAGGGGGAGAGAGAGAGAGAAACATCAATGATGAGAGAGAATCATTGATCGGCTGCCTCCTGCAGGCCCCCTACTGGGGACCGAGCCCGAAACCCAGGCATGTGCCCTTGACCAGAATCGAACCCAGGACCCTTCAGTCCACAGGCTGACTCTCTGTCCACTCAGCCAAACCGGCTAGGGCATATTGACAAATTTTATATCTTTACCTCATTTGTTCCTCCAACAACCCTTGAGTGGTGGCCGGTACGGCAAATATACCTGAAAGTTGAGGCTCATCTATTCTTAGTGACTTGCCCAAGTCATAAAGCTAGAGAGTGAAAGAGCCTTATTCTTTCTTCCTTTTTTTTTATTTTAGAGTTATTGTGAGAATTAGTTGATATTGTATGTGTGTGTGTGTGTGTA